TCTCGTCAGAAGACTTATCCGCAGAGTAATTAGCAATCGAGAACCTGTGTTATACCGATCGATTAATTTAAACCAGAAATAAGGTCACTAACTGGTATTAGCAATTTAGGTTAGTCAAGCCTCGATTGAAAGCCAAGGTCAATTCTGAACCCGGCAGTATCATCGTTGACATTAAATATGGGAGAGAGCTAAGGCTAAAATTTATTTCATCATTGGATATTTGTTTGATCGCAAAGATTTGGGGATCTTTTTTAATAGTGATGATCCCTCTAAATATATACCCCCCAAATTTGCTGTCTACCAATGAGAAGATGATATTTTCTGTTCATCTGGTATGACATCGGGACAGGTTATGAAACATTCTGACAATGAACGCGTTAGCGAAAGACAGGGTTTTGGAAGTTTACCGAACAATTCGGCAAGATAATTCACAATGTACGTGAAAAGGGTCTATTGGGTGACATACCAATGCCATTAAAGAACTTTTTGTATAAGCGATTTAAAGACTACTTATCACATCGGCGATGCTAAAGATTTCCAAATCTCCATTTAATGCGACAGTAATCAAATTACTAATTTATTCGGGAGCGATAATACTTGGGAGGAGGATCTGAAATAATATAGTCATTTTGGCAAAATACATAATCCGTGTCACATGTAAAGCCTTAAAGATGGAGCTCGGAAGCTCACCTCTGTTGCTGGTGGAATGTTGTTTTGCTGCATTGGGGATGGGTATCAGATGGGGATTTGTCGCATACGCAAATTCTTTGGAATACTGTTGAAATTTCAGCAAGAACAGTTAAAGATACTAAGCTTGTCAACGAGTGTTATCTATATGTGATCCATTGGAAATATTACAACAAAAGTCTTCGAATGTACCGGCCGCGTAGATAATTGAAGTTGGCTTCCAGAGGTAACCTTTACGCCATAGAGTATTGTAACCCCTTTCATAGCCCAAGGTTTTGACATCCTCAAGCCATTTTTCAGACGAATTCGGCGGAGAGTTTCGCCAGTGGTGGCTCCATTGGCTAATCAGCCTTTCAAGCATCATCATCCATTACGGTAATGTTGGTTAGAAAACCGACTGGCAGGTTGCCTACGGTTGCCACTCACTGACCATTGCTTTGGCGAACTGAATGAACAACATGCCAGTTCAATTCTCGACTCTTGGATATCTAAGACTGAACGTGTTCGCGAAATTCATACCTATTTGTTTTTTATTTGGTATGTTGGATCAAACATTGATGCTCAATTATTTCGAATTTCGCAAAGTCTTACTTTGTGTCTGAGCTTGAAACGATTATACGGAACAAAGCCATTGACCACCTGAATCGTCGTTGTGCGATTAATATTCCGTTCACTCAGCATGCGCTTTCAGCATATTACATTTTACTCCCACTGACGCGTCATCAAATCTGGTACGTTATGATGGAATAAGATATAGAAAGTAGAATGAAAATTATGAAACATTGTACGTTGCTACAAGAGATGAAGGAGAAGTAAAAAGGAGGATAATTCTGGACACTTATCACCACCTTGTATTTTTAATCCCAAACTCATTTGTGTCATCTCAACTCGATATAGCTCCTATTTGGATTGCTTTCTGCAAGCTCAGAGAGTTCGTCAACTTATCAAGTTGGATTTTGCTAAAGCCAACCCATTGAATGGATTATACCACACAATGAAAAGCATCTTAATGGTGTCGATGTGTTGATTACACGAGTTACCATATAAACCGCGCTGAAGTTTAAGGGATGGATGCCGTAGAAGAGTATGTTAATGATATTATGAAAGTTCCAGTCAACTTAGCAGATATAAATAAAGATGTAATGTCCATGATTAGGTATTTCTGGAATAAGTATTCTACTCGGGATATGGATACCTCTTGGATTACAATCGTTGGCACAGTCTGGAAGATGAGCAAAGACTATGCATGTTGCTTCTATTCTCGAGGAAAGGTGTGCTATCAAAACATCAATTAAGGCTAGCTAATGTCGAAGACGCTACGTATATAGTACCCTACTACTAACCTATTATTAGTTTTACTACTAAATAGAACACTTTATTGGTTTTGAGTCACTCCTCAGGGCGATTTAATCTTTCATGTTTGATCTCACTAATTGAAGGAGTATTTAAGGAAAGGCTATTACTCTTCTATTCGGTGATTGGAAACTTTCCTTAATTCTTATGTTCAATTGATATTCACGCGACGAACGAACTGTATGTATTTCGCTATGATTGCAGAATTCTATAATATGAATGTGACTCAACACAATTCAGTGCTTCAACCCACCTTCTTAAACAATTACCGAAATACTGAACTACATACAAGCCGACAATAAGAAATATTCTACTCCTATTTATAGTTACATTTTCAATGCGCGTCCGTAATTCAAATTAACAGCGTGCATTAACATAATCTGACAAGTTCGTATAATGTTGGTATGCCCATATTTCCATTTCCGATTCCCTGATGTTACCGATTATTCTGATTAATCGGAATAATCTACAATAATACTAATACACGAATCTTAATGAATATATAATTAATAATTAACGTATCGATCATATAGAAGAAACAGCGAAGGAATAATAACAGATGGAGACTTTATTATTGAGAATCGATGTTCGCTGCTATTTACAATAACGGGTTACTATTTCCATTAGAATAAAAATTCCCATTTGATAGGACAACAGAATTTAGAGCCTAACTTATTGTAATCTAAGATTATCGTCAACAAGAGCGTAAAGCCCAATTAAAGCATAGAGCTAATTCTCAAAGTCAGCTGACAATTCGCTCTTCTATATTTAATATTAGCATTAATAAAAATTTTTATTGTTAATTAATTAAAAAAAAAAGCATGCAATACCTGTATGTCAGTATTATGCGATTTACAGAATTATTGTTATATCAGTTTATAAGATTTTTAGCTTCTTTTTTAAATAATAATAATAATAATAATAATGAAAAAAATGTTTTTGGGTTGGGGCCACTTCCCGATTGAAGTATTTCCCGCAACCATGACAGATCAATTGCTGGTTGTCTGATAAATGTAATAGGGGAAAGACAATTGCTGCCATTTTTAAAGATAAAGAATTGACATCTGTATTCCTTTGTAGCCCTCTCCCAACGTAATCCAAGAGAATCCACCAACATTGGAGCCTGACTTGAAATGGCAGAAGCTGATCCATTCTTTCTGTTGTGTCTACCACTATGTCGACCCCTAGTTCTTCACCACTGTCATCTTCCATTCATCTTCATCTTTGGATTCCTCATCTTTCTCTTCCTCTTCAACCTCACTCTCTTGCTGACCCCAATGCGCTCTATCAACTTCATGGCCATAAATTTAACGGCAGAGCAGTTGTAGTGCGATGATTTCACATCACAGAACAAGAAGAGAATGTTCAAAACATGTTTATTGTGCCTGGTCCCTCTCATACTGGTGCTGCATATAGAGACCATGGACCGCCTATTTCAATGCAAATTTAGAAGCATTGCCAGAAAGCTACTTGGCAGCTCAACCGTTTGGAATCCTGTAGAAAAGAGGTATATTAATATATAGAAAGTGGGCATTGAATAAGCCTTAAGTAAGAATTACAGCTAATAATAATACCTGCTGGTCTACACAATACAGCGCTGGTACTGGTGACAGAGAAGAGGAGTGACCACAGTGAAAGGCATTACTGGAGGAGAGTATTGTGTAAGAAATAATGGCAGTGAGCAGACCACAACAAAGATGAGTATTAAGGAAAGAAATGAACGCGTGATTTGCTTCCATGAAAGGTAATTATTTAGCCGCGTAGTTAATAGATTTTTACAGCGTGTTTTTTATGCGACGTAAACGCGTCTCACGCGTCCGATTCGGGAGATGTAAAATGAAAAATAAACATGATAATCAGGAGTATATCTACATTGTTTATTATACAAACACAATGTCCACGAAACACAACATCAATGTATATTACATTTGTGGAACAAGAAATTCATCGCCAAACAAAGTGTCAAATACGGATGTTGACGTGTCGCACATGACAATTTCGACCACTCATGGGCTCATGGGTACTCGAAAGCATTGCCTATGTTAACCGAAGCCCATAAGCAAAGACGTGTTGAGTGGGCATGTCAACACCTTAATGACAATTGGAGGAAGACATTATTTTCCGATGAAACAGCACCAACATTATATTTACCGAAACGCTGAAAGGTGAACGGCCAATTCGTCCCATGCCCAAAGATCGCACAAAATCTTTGCATGGGGTGGATTTTGCGCAGTTGGTAAAGCAAGCTTATTTTGTTTCCGGAGGACAATGGATGCCAAATTTTATGTAGAAATCCGCCAGAAACACATTCCAGAAGTAAATAGGATGCTTGGAGGTAGACTCCAACGAGAATTCCAGAAAGCATATCAATTAGATTGGTGAGATCAATAAGACGACGTTGTGAGTTTATTATTGAGAAGAATGGGGAACGGATTCCTTATTAATTATGACAAAATAAAAATCTCCAGTTTTTTTGTTACACACTGTATTTCGAACAAGAGTTTTTGTTTTTACAAAAAGCTGAGCTTTATTAGTAAGCATTCAAAAAATCAAAATTTTTTTATGGCACGAATAAATATGATCAAAAATAATACGTTATTAAAAAATGTCACTAGATCATACGATTAGAGATCATCCAGAATTCATTGCAACAATTGAATAGTAAGTGTAAATAGTTCTATAGTGTCAGGGAAAGAAAGATTTTTCAAGAAAAAAGTAAATCGATTCTTTAACAATAATACAGTATGTCATTTATCACGTGATTCTCGATAAGTCGATAAATCCTAGAAATCTAGACCATTGGCATCAAATATGCACATAAGAATGAAATAGAAATCACAAGCAACGGCGATGAGTATAAATAGGTAAGCCATAGAATTACGTCGGCCAATTATCATCATCAATCTATTCTTCATTTCCCCCGTTGCCATCAACTTAGGGTCTCGTATGATTTGCAAGAGTTACCCTCGGTCCAACGCAAGTCTATAGTATTCATTTCCATCACAGATAGCAGAGACAAAATCGATCGCTTTTATCGTTTCCACTAGCCTGAAGATCAAGTTCATTAGGCTAGGGTTATCTTCAGCACCGACATGGATGGGATCTCGTGCTATGTGTTGGTTACAAGGAAAACGGGGAGCCAGTCGAATTGGACGAAAAGACGTAGAGTGTCGTGGACGTTGGATTATCATAAGTCCCTACGTATGATAATCACTAATGAGTGTAAAAATTTATTCTTCGTTTGAACAACTCATACCATCGTCCTTAAAACGAATATCTCTCTTCCATACCTTGCCAAAATCAAGTCTCGCTCCTTCATCACTGAATTCCTTCCGATCAAACCTCCATTGCATCCAGTAAGGAGAGAATTCGAGAATGATTACACGCTTAGATGGATAAGACATAGGAGATCAATGTTCGGTTGATTCGATGACGTAAGTTAGTATTTACATGAAAGTAAAAGATCCAAAATGTTTGATAATTCACATGTCCAGGCTTTACTAACATTCTATCCATAAACATTTACTTTTCCAATATGTTGGCTTCCTCATTGTCATGTCAGCAATAGGTCCGACGTTGATCAGAGAGCGATTAGGTATAAAAAAAATTAACTGATCGGTTATCTAACAATAAGCCGGTACATTTACTTGGACATTGTTAACCCAACATTCGTTTATTTTATAATAACGCGTTTGTTTACATAGTTTCTATATTTATATACGTTTGCAAAGTAACCCCACTTTTTTCCTTGACTCCTTCCCACTGGGTAAAATTAATTCCCTTAGACTGGGGTACTTACGTGACAAACCATTTTATTTAAACTTTTATTTGAAACTAACTTGTTCGATTATCAAAAGGTTGCATCTCCACTCTTTTCTATGCTTTTTAAACCGTTTTCATAAAATTTATTTTCTTGCAGCAGACTTACATCGAAGATCGTCGGCGGATCAAAACCTCATTAGGGACAGGATTTAAACCCCACATCCATATTCGATGAAGCGCGTAAGGGCCTCACTTCTTATTTCTCGATTCTATGCCGAATAGCACAAAAAAAAATTACTATGCTAATTAATATGTACGTATCACCCAATCATTAGCAACGAAATAAACTACGCCTCAATCATAAAACACTTACTTTTCGACATAGCACTCCTAACCGTACGCACTTTTTCGTGACGTAATTTCCACGCGTCTCCTGACCGAGTACAGACAATCCTTTCCCTTTCTAATACCATTCTAAACCGATATCAATCTCCACATGGAAGTGTCGAAATACGATATGTGCGGTAGATGAAATTTCGGGATTATTAATTAATCTGCAAGCGATGCAATTATCGAACAATTGTCATCCAAGCGTGCTTAAGAAGTTTTGGGTTTTCAATGCCAGGACTGATTACCAATTATTGAACAAGAATAGTGTGTCGTTTGAATTGCATAAAAAAGACAGTAGGCTATGCACATGGCCTTTCTGAGCGTAATACCTGCACGTCTCTTTCGAGCTAAGTGCCCCAGCGGAATTGCCCTCACAGAGATATGAGGATCTTTGATTCAAACAAAGAGCCATTTGTATCATATGGAAAAGAGTATGGAACACAGTTCATAAAGCATCTTGCAGTAATAAGAGCAAACTGGAATTTCTCCGAAATGGAGAACCACCGGCCGAATTTAAATGAGATTATTGGATGCGTCCAGCTGGATCTCGACGAACATCTCAAAGCAACCCCACAACTTTTCTTTCAACCGAATATCTCATTATCCTAAAAATGTAGATCCAATACACGAAATGAAAAACAATTTCGCTCGTATGAATATCACATTAACAATAAGGACATTTCAGAGTATAGAAGCCACGACAACACGCATAGTCCCGCAACAGAATCAACATTTGACCACGATGATAATGAAAAGAGTAATCTGCAGTTGCATCAATCAGAGGAAAATATTGATAGAGATGAAAGCAAGCCAACAGACCAAGAGCATCAGATTTCCACTCCTTCTATTCCAAAGAAACCCAAAACACATGGCCAAGGTTGTCAAACGGACGCGATTACTCTCCCTAATTTTGAATCACATAGGACTAGCCGTTACGTTACCGTAACACAAACAGAGACGACATAATAGGACGTACAAATTCAGCAGGGTAAACACATCGAATTCATTACAAGGCACGGCTAACATGGACATTTCAAAGGATGCTACGGGTAAGGTCTCTTCAGCATCTACTGCTCCGATACAATCGCGAATAACAACTGAATTTACGTATGTAGTTCCAAAGAAGCGCGGCCATGGAAGACTAATAATAAAGAAGCTAATACCTAAACCAGTCATTGTTGAACAGAAAGTATTACCTCAAGAAGCCAATGATGAAGAGGTCTCGGCTTCCTTGGACAATGGGACAACAATCACGCGACGGCGGCGCCGCGAAACGAGTCTATCTAGTAAATCCGATAACAATGACGGTATCTCCGGATTGAAAAGAAAGAGAAAGCAAGCAGCCAAGGTACCATGGTATAGACGACGTCGTTTGCTTTCGATAGAAGCTTTACCGGTAGACGACCAAAGGGCATTGGCCATGTTTGACTTTGTTAAACCTGATGTTAGCGCCGAAGAATTGGAAGGACTATATGAAAAAGCGTATGAATATATGAAGGATTTGAAGGTCGAATACAGAAACCTAAAGGCACAAGAAAGGAAACTGACCAGGCAGATAAATGCTCGGATCAGAGAAAATTCAAGCTATGATAAGAGTCAGTCCCGATCCGATCTCACGTTTGAACCACAATCCTCAAGAGAGACTGGACTTGACTAAAACTTTGTGTATGATCTCTTCGTATGCCTATATCATATGATCTCTAATTTACGGGATTATACCAGTCTTTGTAATCTCAGTTGGGATGAATTAGGGATTGAATATAAGTTGTTATTTATGTATAAATAAAGTTATCAATTTATTCTTCTAATTGTTTGGAGTATTCTCTCTCTACTTCACTCATTAAGTCGAGCTCCAACAAAGAATTTCCAATCGCTAGCGTTCATAATCAGGTCGCATGGATTTTGACAGGTTCGTTAATGTGTTTAGGTCTTAATTTTGCTACAGCGGCTGTTGCTGTTACGGGGAAAACGGCTCTGCCAAAGGTACCGGCGAAGGAAGGATATGCAAATAGGAGCGAGATAGAGTGGGAATTCATGTTTCATGTCAGAGAATGTATACTAGCTGTTTCCTACTACATAGTGGAGATCGGTGTTGCCAAACGATTGACAGCTCTCCTCTTGAATATGCTGAGTTTCATCTCTCTAGTGCCCCCTCTGCTTTTCTTCCGCGCATACCTCACCTTCGCTTTCTTTATCCGATCGAATTGAAATGCTTCAACGTCGCATTTTCTGGCCATTAAACCAGTTGCCGCTTACGATAACTTATCTTTAAATTGAAGGTTGAAGTTAGGATTGTTAATGGGTTCATGGAAGACATGAGAAGCATGTGACTCTTCTCCCATCTATCATCTAATGGCGTAACTTAGAAATGAATTTGAGCAAGATGTTGTAACAAAGTGAACGGCAACACTTGATGAACATACTCATATACAGACTGAATAAACAATCAAGATATGGATTACTTTTTCTATGCATATCCGGAACTCTGTCTGGATAATGGGCAATATTCAAGCCACCAAACAGTTAATACATGTGGATCGCATTTCTACTAACTAGCCAGATAATACATAAAGAGCATCACCTGTGTATTTCACTTCGTTCTTTCATTTCAATTGATGACAGCGACACTATTGGTACCATGCCATCAATAATTAGCATTCTTAAAGCACATAATCATCCCGTAACTGTAATCCGCAACGATATGCTGGACGTCATTTTGCGGCCCGTTCATCTTCACAATATAAATAGGTTAATAGTCTTCATATCTAAATTTTATGTATGGTCATGTGATTAAAATTCAATTTACTGACTTTTTAATCTTCAAAGATTATCCGTAAGTCACGTTAAAATATCGGTTAAACCCTAATTTTCTGTTCGCATTGTCTCACTAGTTTAATCCAAGGAGTCACGCTAGGAATAACTTTTGATCCAATAGTTATACTCAATGGACAAAGAAAGTGTTCTGAAACTTTTTTTTTCCAAAATTGTACTTAATAAATGATTGTACTTCTTAGCTTCCAAGGAAGTTTTTTATTAATGCCCAAAATGGTATAGGCATGTATTGCCAACCGTGGTTGCTGAAATTAATTATCAATTTATAAATTTAATGTCGACCTTATTTTTAATAAAATTTCACAAAATTTAAATTTCTTGTCTATTTTAGTAACCTCAGTTTGATTTGGATAGACTATAAACTGTCTCAAATCTACTATACAATGTTCGCGTTTTTAGGCTTGTTACTTCAAATTTAGGAGATCGTAAATCAAAACATATTAATATAATTTTTGCCTGATATCAGTAGTCCGGTATAATAGCGTTTACATTTGTTTCTTGTCAACTTACTCAAAATTAGATCTAAGAGGAAGCCACTATTCATCTTGATGTTAGTCTTGAACATTTAAAAATAATAACAACAAAATTAAAAAATACTGGTCGCCATTATCTTCAACGGTAACTGTAAATTACTCATCATTAGGGCAGTAATCGAAGACAGGAAGGATAAGGAGTCGACCAACAAATTGAAGGTGACGGGCTGCGTGGAGTAATGCAGCAAATGATGGGACGGTACATGACGGACCCAATATAATTATTACCATCTTATTTGTATATTAATACCAAGTATGTGAGACCTTCCTAACACTTCATTGACGACGGTTTTCCATGTCACGAAACGTCTGCATTTTATTGCAGTTCGATGACCAAATAAATTTCCTCCGTTGGGAATGTTAGCACAACTGACAAAGCTTGGATTGTTCGCGTCGCTTCTAGGATAGAGTTTGTTGACCATATGATAACTTCTTTTAATAAGATTAATCGTTAAGATAATTGAACTGCTAAGATGACACAATGTCATGAGTATTTGTACGGAATCTAATTAATGTGGGTAATAGGGTGAATGTTGAGAAAACCAAGAATGAAACTCCACATTCATTATATACAATGCAAGAACGCTGTTACATGTAACCGGAACGACAAACTCCAATTACTTGATCTAGTCGTGAATTGATTGAAATCGAATATGCTGCAAGCTTTCCTAAAATGCTAATCTGGCAAGAATAAGTTTGGAGCATCTCGACTATTCTGATATAAAAATAATATATCTTAAAATATAATAGCCAATCTGAATATTCCCTACAAAGCGATTGTATATAATTAGTATGACAATAGACACAAAAAAATCTACTGGGATTCTTACCTCTTGTATTTGTATCTGGCTAATATACACAAGATTGTTATGAAGAGTAATAAGCAAGATGTATCCAAAAATTCGTAGTTGCAACTTGCCCACTAATTGGTTGGAATTAAATAATACTCGCATTAATAACTGAAAGTCGAGATTGATAGAAAGTCACTGTGAACGCATTAAGTTTCGTCCAACATAGAGTCATTACCGTAATATTGAACAGCCATCCAAAGCTTGGATGACCGCAGTGTTATATATTTCACCTCTGAGAACATCGTCGTTGTCGGTAGCTTGATAAATACAAATTTGCCAACTGATGGCAGGACATGGATGTTATAAGTAATAGAAAAAGTCTTCGTATGAACCGGAACTATCTCCCCTAATCTTTGGGATTATCGTAAACCATTATCTAAAGGCAGATTATATTAGTCAGTTATCGATACTACAAATAAATTCGTCCGCTTTTATTGCTTATCCGTTGGGTATCCGTTTTGGCGAAACCAGATTCCACGTACTACTATACACCTCCCATTGTTTGGAAAACAGGATGTATGCACGTCAGAAGTACCATTCTTTGAACGAAAATTCTGTTGTTTCGTACACATCGGCCATGAGCTGATCATACGCAATAATGGATGCAACCGAGATGCTTAACAGGTAAGTCAAATATTTCCATCCCATTCGTAAGCACATTAGATGCTTAGCATCAATGACCGCTCCCGTTGATAAAACATAATTCGAACAAAGGTTTCTTATAAGATGATGTCGCAACGGTATATCAGGAATTACATGCTGACGTAGGCGAATCGTTCCCAATTTCATCGATACTCCGTCAAATGGTGCCTTAGGTGCAGTGGTGCAGCATTTATATTCAAGCAGAGTTCCTGACCGCGTAAGAGAAAGTAACATTCCCTGATGCTATAGGTTAACCGGTTTATCTGTTATGAAAAGTAATAAGCAAGATATAGCCAAATTCGTATTTTCAACTTGCCCACTAATGGCTGAAATTAAATACACATGTATTAATCACTAAAGGTGGAGATTGATATAATTATACTCACGCATTATTGTGAACCCATAAGTCTCGTCCAACGTAGAGATATTGCCGTAACATTGAACCGTAATAATGCTTTTATGCCGTATCGGTGTTTTTAGATCACTCATTACTTTGAATACACTTCTCTAATAATGGTTCTTGAGGATTTTATTTCGACGTGAAATAAGAGCTATTTCCCGACGATGGATCGTATCATGGCTTTCCATGAATTGCGATCTAGATTAACTCGATTATCGGAGTGGTGGGGACCAACGACAACCAACCAGGATAATTTTTAAAGTCTAGAATGTCAACCAGTTCTTCGTACTGACACTTGCAAGTAAACATCCGTTTTTCGTTATATAAATTGCTTCTATTAATGTAGTTTTGAAAATGCATATTGATCAGATTTTTTTGATATCGCGAGGAACGCATTCTTATTGGTGATTGCGCGCATTGTATGCGAATGTTTCACAAGACCAACCTAAAATTGTGTTTGTTTACGTGCAGGAAACGAAAATTCGTGATTGTTTACAGGTGAAAAAAGTATTTAATACGCTGTTCTGCAAGTGGGTAGTGTGCAAAATCAATATAATAATAATGAATCCTTCCACAGAATATGATGACGACCTACGGCCACCAAGACTTCCCTTGACTCCGTTTTTGTTTTATGTTTCACACATGACGGCTATGATGTCGGTTCCGATTAATTTCGATCCAATGATACAAGCAAGACAGTTTGGTGTGGACTGGCAGGCCATGACACCAGAAGCGCGAGCTCCTTGGGAGAAGAAAGCAGAAAAAGATAAAGAAAAGTACTGTGAAGATATAGAAGTTTACCTAGTCAAATACAGGGCGGCGATGGGTGCAGCAAGCGAGTTGATGATGGAAACAGTCGTGAACAACGATGATGACGCGGGAGTTATGAATGATCGAGAGCTTGAAGATTCATTGGACGGAATTCTTTATATACCTGAGTTTACTGAAGATAACAGCGCTAATACTATACAATCCGACAGCCTTCCCAGTAACGGCAGCTATACTTACTCCGATGATGTAAACGGTAATATGCAAGAAAATACTCGTAATATGGACTCTTCCTTATCCGACGACAACCCCTTTACAACCTGCTCACCTGGTAATACCGCTTCTACCGTTGAGAGGCTTTCTCCTAGATGCCCACCAATCGAAAATGTCCAATCCAGCTCGGTTGATTCCCTGAACGATGCCGAACCGCCGCTCTCTTATTATCTCTTTGCTGACCACATTCGTTCTCAAGTTTGGAAAATGCACCCCCGATATCCTGAAGAAGATATCACCATTTTCGTACACGATCAATGGAACCAATTAGCACCAAATGTGAGATTTGCGTGGGAAGCGAAAGCGAACGAGCTGATTTCGTCTACTCCGCATAACGCTTCGGATAATCCATTAAATGTAAACAATGATGAAAATCAGGAACATCTCGCCAGCAATCAACATACAGGAACAAGACGAACAGTGTCATTATTGCACGAGACACAAAATACACTTCGATCCCCCGCCCCAAGGGGGTATAATAAATCTAGTGTATTTCGAAATATGTCGTCAATAAATCCTACTTTTGAAAAGTAGTTTGCATTCACATGAACCGAAGAAACGTGCTTAAACTATGTTATGTTCGTCCCGAAATATTTTCAAAATTATTACGCAAGTTGTTCATTTCGCTCCATCGTAGCCTTACATAACTACTAATTATATAATAAGAATTATCAACATGCATAATAACATAATCGCAAAGTTCATGCATATCGTACAACCCGAAAAAACCATTACCAAACTATTTATTATTAAATTATCCCTTGCATAAGTTGGTAATGTTGAAGCCTGTGTCATAAAACGTAGTCCCGTCGATACTCTTATTTTCCTGGTAATCCAATCTTTACCATTTGCGTGACTTTTTGAGAGAATAAACCATTGCTTTTACAACGTTCACTAATGTTTTAGGCAAAAACCTGTACGGAGAAAACCAATTCTACGTCCTAATTTCCCTAGGAACACCCGTACGACAACTTGAATAATCGTCATCTATCCAGAGTCAAGTTAATGTTTGGAAGGAAAACAGCTGTAGACAACTTAATAATCATTTCGCTTTAGCTTGTTTACTAAGTCTTTCCCCAAACACTACCTTCAAATAATAATCAATTTGGTGGGATTGATAAATAAAAGCGTAAGCTAATTATGGGACTCTATTAATTTATGACGATAAAACCTCTGCTCTTACAAAGTTCATTCATTGCTCTAGCTGTTGTAGCAATCAATAGTTCTTTTGCCTTTTTTTTCTCTTCTTCGTAACTAGACTTTCTTCCCTTTCGGTATGATACTCCAGCTCCCCTTAATTTACAGCTGGATGTTACTTTAACTTCTGTACGCGGTTTATTTTAGCCTTCTAATCATAGTCACTTCCGTTCAAAGAGAATATTAATTATATAATTTGACGCGTCTTTTCAAGGAATTTCTTATAACCGTTCTCAGCCGCTCCTAGTGAATGAGTTCTTTTGAATACTTGTTGGACGATAGATTTAATTAAGTCTGCCCATTAATCTAGAATTTTACCTGACACGAAAGTACCTTCAACGGGAATTTAGCATTTATAAAAGGCAGGGCAGGGACAACTGTCCAAATTTGTTGATTGACGTAGCATCATTATACTGCTTAGGAATGCGGGCATCTTATGTTTTTAGTTATTATTACAAGCACTACTCGTGAGGGTTGACAATTTTGCTAGCTGATGTGTGATGCTGATACAGCGAAATTAATCTGAGTGATGTTAACAAATTGATCTAATAAAGGTGTATTAAGGAGCAGCAGATCCATGGTTCCCAGAGAAGCAAATCGGAAATGAAAAGGTTATTGCGAAAAAAAGTATTAGATACTCGAAAATAGAATTTGGTAATTATGAGCTTATTAGTTCCTTGCACTGACATACCTCTCCGTTTTGTAACAAGAGGATCGATTAATTTAGCGGCATATTAAATGACTGTGGAATAATCCAGCAATGTAGAGAAACTCCCCCCATCTGGCGTAACGGCCACAGAAATTGTAGGAATATAGTCTATGTATTGAAATGAGAACGCCGTAGGTTAGAGTTGAGACGGGTCGTGGGGTAGAAACTCAAGAGATCTAATGAAGAATACCTGAATGAGATGTAACGGCTTTCATCAAATATAGACGATCAATTCTATAGCGTGGATAGCTCGGCCAGTATGACGCCGCTAGAATGGATGGTTTCATCAATGGAACGAAAACTCGAACGGATGAGATGATTCTCGTCGAATGTAAAGCTCGATAGCTTGTCATTATAATACAGCACCAGGGCATCGGAAAGTATATGATAGTATTGAATGACAGCTTGGCGGGCTAGGGTTTGAGAAGAACAAGATGAAGATCTATAGAAGGATATAGGGAAAAGGTTCATTGAATCTCGTTAGATAATGGTGGTAATGAAGAGTGGTACAACTATCGCAAAACGCAACTAACATACAATGGCACCGCTGCTCCGCAAACCCAGTACGCATGGCTGTAATCATGTTAATGCATATTGGCCCATGCCCGTAGAAGACACGGCGTCAGTTAAAGTCGCTATGTCTATTTTTTCACTTCATTAAATACGATTTGCTTCGCGTGATGCTTTCGCTCTTGGCCCATAATTTGCCAAATTGTCCCCAGAATGCAAGTCCTTTAAACAATTGACTAGATCGCTGTGATTGACTGTGGTGTCGTTGTGACTACTGATTACAGATTAAGAAAAATCAGTAATCAACATACAAGATTAGCAAAAACGAACAAAGAGAGGAGAACCAACTCTTAAATAAACATTACATACTTCCAACACGAGGCAATACTATCTATGGTGTAATCACAATAGGAGTGTATGTCGTAGGTCGATAGGTTGATGGTATCTGAATCAACGGGTCCATACCCTGTCCTGGCACCATCGACGTGATTAGAACGAGGCGTAGCAGAGACTTGGTTATTTTCTGACATTTTGCTTTTTCGCGAGTAGCGTGTGCAAAGTATGCGTAGACATCTTCATGTATGCTTAGTTTCTGTTTCTTTGTTAGATTGTTAAACGAACAGAAACATCTGAGAGACATATATCTTCCGATATAGAGAATATGTATTTTGTGTATACAATCTTACCTATCTGATCTCTACCCGGCACTGCAGTGAACGATTGACGATGCTGTAGTACTGTTATGCGTATTTAATGTTGTATTTCCACGATTTACGTAATTGCCGATCTATCAAAAAAGGATCTGATCTCCAAACTATATGAAACGTTTTCTTCGTATAACTAACTGATTAAGTTCTCAAGGCAAGCACAACATCAGTAAATCTTACTCTTTACATGAAAAATTTTTATAAAGTTAATAAAACCATAGTTCTAGCAGAGGTCGAATTTACGACCGCGAGGTTAGCAGTACCGCTCTAGCCAATGAGCTATTGTGATCCAGCGGATGGAATTGTGTTATTTTTCCTATATTGATCCGTTTTCCTCCAGATAACTAGCCGTCGTGTTTGAATAATGATACTGCCACTTCTACCTCTCTACATCTACTCACCAAAATGATATCAATGACAAGTCTATGTCATACATTTAATAGCCATAATGTGTCTACGCAACCGAAATATAAGCAGCTAAACATGAATACCATAGAGTCCTACTTTGGTAGACACTTATTAAAATTGAATTCAACATACTTCCCTACTTAGTGCAGCATCAAGCTAAAAGCTATAAAAAAAGAGAGTCTGAAATACTAAAAAGTAATTACAGATATGTCTGTTATCTATAACAAATAGCATAAATAATAGCTCGTTTAAAAGCTAAAGAGATATAGATTACTATTATTGAGAAGCCAATTTGAAATGTACTCTCCTTTAGTTTTTAAACAGGTTTACATTCTCGTTTTATTGAGTTTAAAAATTAAATTATAGTCTGTTCTGGTCTCAAATTACTCACCCCGCAACCGTCATTGATTAATTTTTTCGCGTTTTGACGTTCATACTTATGCCATAAATTTTATGCGGGCACAAGTATTGGCTGTTCCGTCTATAGTTTGTAAGGTATGTAATAAATTGACTAGGTAACTTGTATCTTTGTTATCTCAAATAATTTTAGTCTTTCAATGTAATTTATTCATGGCACATCGAATAAACAATCTGGAGAATTTACAGGACAGAATTATTTCAACCTTTGGCACATTTAGTTTCAAGGCAAGATTTCATACTTACTAAATTTAATAACAAACATCGGGTATCGTGGTGTCTGCTGCTTATCTGCCATTCGCATATTCAAGTTCTGATTCTAAACAATTCATTGCTAATCCATTCGGACAAGTGGTAGAAGCGGTGGGGGACAGTGGTGAAAAGAATATTTGATATTACATCCCCCTCGACAGGATAGTGAGTTAGAGATAGCCAGACTAACTTTAAATAAACGTTTCTCAGGAATCCCCTTATATTGACTTTAATAGCGATCTTGATGATTGTTTAATCATATTAATATACAGTTATAGCACGAATATTTTCACTAATTATTGTTTTACCCTTAGAAATAGAAATTCTCCATGTTTCATAGCATAGCCTTAACGCTTATCATACAATTCATATCCTTTACACATCTCTCCTGCGGCCACAGAAGAAAACGTTTAAGCAAAAAATTGCTACTAGATTATAATAAGAAATATATTTATCAGACACGAAACAAAAGAACCCTAATTGCTCAATATTCAGCAAGACATGATATATAAATTAAAAACAAAAAAAGACAATAACAAAAACAAAAACAAAAGCAATACATCCGGATTTATTGGTTTCACTCGTTCCTATTAAAATAAGCAAATGGTCAGCCCTCCTGGACTCTCGGCAAACAGACCCATTTGACGTTGGTGAGATTCCGAACGTATATGATACTGGAAACCGTTCTCATCACGGTACTGTATTCTGACACATCTGACAATACCAACGTAACTTTTGAAGGCCTTTGCCTAATAGACGACCAAATAATTTAATAGATTAGATCAGATCGCCCAAACTGAAAATATGCGACAAGCCAGTTCAGTCGACTAGTACCTTAATTCTGTTGGCTATAGCCTTTGGAGTCAGGAACTCGTGCTTGGCATATTTAAGTTGTTTGAGTAAACATATACTTCGAGATTCAAACTAGACAATAATATGTGTGGGTTGGGGGCGACCGTGTAGTAGATAAACGTTATCGTCGTCATCGTCTTTTTCTCCTCCGACGTCTATGATTTTTGCTGCTGCTGCTGTTGCTGCTGCTGCTGCTGCTGCTGCTGCTGCTGTTGTTGTTGTTGTTGTTGTTGTTGTTGTTGTTGTTGTTGTTGTTGTTGCTGTTGTTGTTGCCGCCGTCGCCGCCGCCGCTTCTGCTGTTGCTGCTGCTGCTGTTGTTATTTTTGTTGTTGTTGTTGTTGTTGTCTCATGAATGGGAGGTGTGTGGGTGGGAAGTGTGGGACGACCGTGTAGTAGACGTTATCGTCGTGGCGTCTTCTTCTTCTCCTCCTCCTCCTCCTATGACTTTTGCCGCCGCCGTTGTTGTTATTGCTGTTGTGGTGGTGGTGGTAGTGGTGGTGGTGGTGGTGAGAACGTCTTCGTCTGGGGCATAATAATTAATGTATGTTTGTGGTAAGTCGTAGTAGTATAACACATTTTAATGGGTTATGGGTAAACGGCGAGAGCTTAATAGATGATGTGAAGACGAAGGGATGGAAATAATGAGTGTGGAAAGTATAACTCGTGAAACAACCAGATGTGGGATTTTTGGGAATCAAATAGCATATTTATAATGAATGAATAACTTACTGCAAACTTGAAAAACAGTTGATAATGCTGATCAGTGATTAGTATTGGTTACTTTCCATTGTCCTGAAAGTCTGCAGTAGATGTGTTTGAAATATTTGGTCTCCGTTCCGATATATCAATGAACAAATAATTAGCTTTTTGTGCAGATGTAGTACCATGATACTCTACCTATGTACACACTTCCCAATAAGTCGTATATGAAGAATAGTATAAAGGAAAAAAAATTTTATACGTTTTTAAAGGTGGCTGTGTCCGTAATTAAATAGGTAAAAAGCTTGCCTAAAAAAGGCCACTGCCTTTGTACAAGTTATTGTAAAGTTACTTTATTATATGTGTACTTGAGAAGAAGAGAAATTTAACTAATTATATCTTGAGTAATTTTCTATTGAATGTATTGATGTAATATCGTTGTCGATCATGGTGACAATGAAATGCACAATCTTGGTAAAGGGACATCCGAACAACTAACTTTCTTAAAAGAATATCCGCAACAGAACAGAATACATACTTTGCGAAGGATTTTACGCCTTCTTCTCAATGGGGTTTGCCACTGTTTTCTTAATTTGAGCGCATGCATATCACCCCGTGATATCGGATCTTGCGACTTTAAGTGTGTCGTGCTACCACAGTCATTCACTTGTTGTGTGTAATGTCTCACAATAACTAAATGATCGATGTGTTTTCGTCACACAAATTTCATATAGTGATATTAATTTTTATGAACAGGAAAAAGCATTGAAATAGAAATGCTATCAGTCATTCGATAAACCTAATGCATAATTGTTTGTCTCGTTGTCATTACTGTCCCCTCGTATCAAGGAAGACAAAAGGGAAATAAAGTTCAAGATGGGCGTCCGGTAAAGAAAGAACACCTACAAAACGATTATCGATTGTCCGATAGATGGTCGAGATCTAGATTTTTACCTCCAACTATTATTCACCACTGTTACCAGGAAGGAATAAGGCAAACACAAATAATGCTCAAAGACATTTTGTTTATTCGAGCAGAGAACGGAAGAGGTGCTTTACAAAAACCCATATAGTGGCGCAAGCTTGTTTAACAACGTTTCAAATTGTTTAAACTATATTATCTATTGTATTATTAATCACTATTTGTTTCTTTCTCCCCCTCTTGTTATCTTTATGATCCTGTCACAAGACCAGACATCATAATGTACTGTATAAATAATATATTGGTAATTTTGAATGCACATTTGTACTATTATTGGATCGGAAGAATTTCAATCACTGATCGAATCCATCTTACAGAGAATATTTCTGATTTGGAACGTCGATATGCACCGCCTCCGAGAAAATACAAAAAACAGGATTGAGGCGCACAATACTATATCTGTATTCATTCTGCCATTGAGATTATCCATTTAAGCTTCAGTTGTTGATAGGGTGGGCGTATTATGCATAAGATAACTCATGTAAGTTGCATGTGTTGCTTACAGTCAGTCTCCTTGTGACGACGCTTATCATTCGCATCTCCAACTATACGCATCACATCTCTTCTATTTATCTTCCCTTTTTTAGTGTTTGTTATGGAAAAAAAGTGTTTGGTGCTGCATGTAATGAAAGAATAATGCATAACAACTCCAAAGGCTTTGTAAACGGGGGAATGGGGGAACAGGGGAACCTGTATTGTATCATCAGCGTTGTGTGTGCTATTAACAGCAACCGTTTTATTGGCTATTTTCGCTTTGACCAAATAACATTTGCAACAGAACTTGGAGTTGTTGGAACATATAATTGAAACAGCCTATAACAGCACGATAATATGTAAATGGGACGTTCTAGTTACGGTATTATCCAGGCAGTTGTTAAAGAACGTACCAGGTGGGCTTGCAAAAGAAATAGCAAATTTTCGTTGCCGGCTTCAGAGCAGCTTTACATTTATTGAATATATTTTGTTCATTATTGTTTTCTATTACTTGCTCACTTATTCTGGTAATTAACAAAAATTTATTCTTCCAACTGTCATTCGAGTATTGTCTTGCCAATTTAATTTGCGTGAGTTCTGACACTTGAAGCAGAGAATATTTATGCCATTTTTTATTAGCACGCAAGGAGAATACCTTCCTTCCACTGTACGCCATATCATTCTGAACCTAAATTTTGCCTTTGTTCATAATGCACTGATTCTAGTGGTTTGACGTTTGTTTGTTTTTTCACTAGCGGGTAGTTATTGGCCAACCTACGAGAGAGGTAACAAACAATTTGAGGTATAACCAAGACAACAAATAACAGTTCCGATGCATTATCGAATATC